CCAGGGATTGAACTCAGGTCCTTGTCTTTGCCAGGCAAATGCTTATTCTACTGAGCCATCTCCCCGGCCCCTCAAACTGTATTTTTAATTTTTCTATAAATTTTTTTGAGAAAGTCGTACTAAATCACTAATATGCGCAAAGTGGGACTTGAACTTGCACTATTTTATGCAATCAAAGCCATAGCAAGACCTTTTGGCAAAACTGATATGCTGATTCTAAAATTTATATGGCAATATAAAGACCCTAAAAAAGCCAAAAAAAAAAAAAAATCTTGAAAAATCACTAAGAACCTTACTCTTTTCCTTCTTTTGATTGTTCTGGTTCAGCTTCTATTCTTAAGAATCCTGCTTTACATGTATTTTCCTTGGAACAAAAATTTTAAAAAGTCTGGAATTATGAATCTAAATCATAAATAAGAAAAATGAGTTATTTCATTCAGTAGCCCCATGGTTAGTGGAAGTAAAAAGAATTTTGTAAGATAATTTATCTTAAAGTAGGTAGAAAGTGCTTATATCAATACAGCTATCAAAAACAAAATTAGGTTGCTGGTTTTACCAATCTTTGGACAGCCTAAGATCCCCCAAGATTACTCACTCGTTTTTTAGAAGTGAGATTTAATTTTATAGAGATTTGCTTTATATTCTGCTGCATATATCATCATTTGCTATTACTACAAAACTGTTTACATATTTTAGCATATTCCCACTGTCTTATATTTTATTTTTAAAGCCATGAGATTCCAACATGGTAAAACCACAGATTTATTTAGGCAGACACTTACTTCAAATGTGATACTTTAATCATTTCGATGGGCGATTCATCATTGCCTCGCTCACCACGAAAAGCAATGCTCCTACCTTTAATTGTAAATATTAAAGAAAATGTGAAAAAAACACATAAGAATCAAGAAGCCATATCAATGTAATTTGATCAATCTTATTCTGTAGTCTACTATTCATCACTGTATTTACTTCTAAGCTATTGGTGATAATTAAAAACAATCTCAAAAATATTACAAGTTAATAATAACATTGTATATATCTAAATGTTTTATGCATGTTAAAATTCTGCACATATTTACAATATTTAAATCTTTACATATATAAATATTAATATTTATATAAATATTACATAAATTTATTGCATTTACATATTGCATATATTTAAATGTTTTATGAAAATATGTTTTTATTTCTGGTAGTTTATTAAATTCTGACTCAATTTTAGAAATTTAGAGACATCATTTCCTAAATTTTAAAAGTGATTATTGTAGTGAAGCAATTATCTACTATAAAACTACTTGTATAAACTTATCTACTATAAAACTACTAGTATATGGAAATGTAAATCATTTCCATAATTCCAAATACTACATAGTGGGGAAAAACTCTTGATATAGGTATTTAGGATTTCTTTGCTCCTGTGCCAAATATTACCTAAAATATTTAGAACATGTTTCTCCCAAAATGTCTCTATAAGCTGACATCAGGGATCAACAACTTCAATATTCTAGTATACTATACAAGTAGTAGTTCCTGCCTAAAACAAGCAAAGTATTTTTCCATAAATAAAAATATATGTATCTGAACAAATATAATGTAATACTTTTTCTAAGATTTTTATTGAAATGGAATAAAAAATATAATAAATTCAAAGTTAACTATGTGCCTTTTTGCTAAACATCAAGTAGAATCCACTGTCTATTATAAAATTATTTGAAACTGTCACCCATTTATGTACGTACATATGTATGTATTTGTACAGGGTCTACAGGATCTCACTACATAGATCAGACTCATAGTGATATGCCTGTTTTCAGGCTACCAAAGCACTGGGATAACAGGCACACACCACCATGCTGTCTCGATGGGATCACTGTCTCAGTGCACCCTGTGGGCGGGGGTGTCACCTTTATATATTTTCAAGTTCTTCATTTTGAAACTCATTTGGTTATACATTTTAGATAATTCTGAAGAAGTCATTTTACTGGAATGTTTTCTGTTGAAGCCTCCTAACTCCTAAATTGTTTCCCTAGTTAGTCAGCTAGAGAATATCAACTGTTCTAAGTTTGAACATTTAAAAACCATCTTTAGGGTGAGATAGCTCAGCAGACTAAGTGACTGTTCAGGCAACTGCAGAGATCGGGGTTCGATCCCGGGTACCACATGCTGTGCTGGCCCTGCCCGAGGTGCACTGAGCCACCAAGACAAGGAGTGATGGCACAAACCTATAATCCCAGTGCTGGGGAAGCTGAAAACAGGAGGATCACTAGGAGTCTGAGCTGAGAAGTGTGACCCTGTACTAAATATATTTAAAAAGAAAAACCATCCTTAATCTGTAATGGCTTTAAGGGTTTCCCACAAAGGCCCAAATTTTAAAATAGAATATCTAAGTCTAATTACAAAGAATTACTTTAATATTGGTCTTTTGATTGCTGGGTGTATGGCACACACCTATAATTCCAGCACGTGGGAGGCTGAGGCAGGAGAACCACAGCAAGTTTGAGAGCAGCCTGGACTACATAGTGAGACCCTGTCTCAAAAACAACAACAATAAGAAAAAGCTTGACCTTCTATTTATATGTAACAACGTACTTACAGTAGACTGAGATTTTTTTTTTTTTTTTTTTTTGCAGAACCAGGGATTGAACTCAAGCCCTTGCGCTTGCCAGAGAAGCACTTATTCTACTGAGCCATCTCCCCAGCCCCAGACTGAGATTTTTTTATGAATCTATCTGGCTAATGGCATCCACTGTACTACATAACTCTTTTAACAATATTTCTATATAAACAATGATATAAGGTTTTTCTAAAGCAATTATTATAGAACAAAAGAGTGGATATATAAATATAGGACATAAGAAAAGACTCCAAGGTGAAAGTACTTAGAACAACTTTGTTAATTGAAGAATATCTGACAAAATTATTTTGAATACTTTAAACAGTCTAAATATACAAACCTGTTGGAAGATCAATCAGCTGGAGTTCATTTCTCACTAAACCCATATTGTTTGGTGTTGAGGTAGCAAAGGAAAGAAAACCTGTCAAACTTATCCATTCAATGCCCCTGGAAAATAAAAAAATATCAATTTTAATATCCTTTTTGTGGAAAAGTTTGTTTTCTTTTTCTTTTTTTTTTTTTGTGGTACTGGGGATTGAACTCAGAACCCTGCACTTACCAGGCAGGTTCTTGTTCTACTGAGCTATCTCCCCAACCCAAGTTTATTTTCTTAAAAAAGGTTTTGTTTGTTTTTTTTTTTTTTTTTTTTTTTTTTTTTTGGCGGAACCAAGGATTGAACTCAGGCCCTTGTGCTTGCCAGGGAAGTGCTTATTCCACTGAGTCATCTTCCCGGCCCTTAAAAAAGCTTTTGTTGTTGTTTTTTATCTTTTTTGATACAGGGTGTCATTAAACAGGACAGACTGGGCTTGAGCTTACTTTGTAGCCCACGCTGGTCTTGAACTTAACAGGGTCCTCCTGCCTTAGTCTCCCAAGTGCTGGACTTATAGGCATGTGCCACCATGTCTGCCTTAAAATAAGCTTTAAGACCTAATTTTATTACATACTTTAAAATAGTACCTCTTAAAAAAAAAAAAAAGTACCTTTTATTGAGACTGTATTACTACATATTTTTGACACACATATAAGTATTTCTAATTATAACTGTTTACTAATGTGTAAAATAGTGCAGTTATCAGGATTCATACCATCACTGTAATGACTATAAAAATTTGTCCAGGGAAAGTCACATCCTAGACATTTCCATGAATTCTGTATTTGAAAAAAAGTACTACAGAAATATTCTAAGCAGAATGCTTAAAGTCAGGTACATTTAAGAATTTTATCAACTTTCTTAGTTGAGTAGGAAGCAGAAATTCTTCTTTAAAAAATTAGTACATGTTTGCAATTCACATGGTTTACAATTATCTTGGGGAGTGGGACAGGTCCATGCTGTAGCTTGTTTCTTCTTTTTAAATTCCCTTCTCTCACCTTCCTGCTCCTCAAGTTCCCTTATCCCCTTTCCCATACTTGATATTGTTTGTCTTAGCTCGTCATGGCATATAGTGCTCACATTGATTGAGGTGCATGGCATATCTTTACTCTTATTTCCCCTTGCTGTACTGCCCTTGAGGAAGCAAAAATTCTTAGAGCAAGGAATATGAACAGAGCTGTTAGATCGTGAAGTAGATGAAGGCTCCAAATAGGATACCACATAGAGAAAAGAGCAAGACAAGGCTCAAAGACAAAGATGCGGCTCTCATAGTCTCCCATACACTGAAGGCCTGTGAACCCCCACGGAGGATGATGTGACCGTAAGTGATGACACATTTTCTTCCCCACTGACGAAGTTTGGCAATGTATTCCAACACAATATGTAAGCACAGGACAACAAACAGACTCCTCAGAGTCATAAGCACTGCTTACTTGGAGTAGGTTAACCCTGGTTCTAGTATATGCAGTTGCTCAGCAATTATAGGACAACTACTTTTACAAACCTCACATTGTCATTGGCTGCTTGACAACACAAGTGCTGAGCTAAGAAGTGATGGTGGAGTTTTCATGGCTTAAAATTCTAAGCCTAAAATATTTACTATTAGGTCCTTCACAGAAAACATTTTCTGATCCCTGATCTAATTTCTCCATTTTTGCACTGATCTGCATGGAACTGCTGCACTCACATAATACCTCTCCAGTTTCCTTAGCATGTAGAATGTATCTGTGTATCACATCTAAACTCCTCCATGTGGCTTTGAAGGCTATCCAGCCATTTGCTTCGCCCTATCTGACTGAGCTCAAAATTCAGTCATCCCAGGGGCCGGGGAGATGGCTCATAGGATAAGCGCTTGACTGGCAAACGCAAGGATCTGAGTTCAATCCCTGGTTCCACAAAAAAAAAAAAAAAAAAAAAAAAGTCAACAGAAAATGGAAATATACTTTGGGGCCGGGGAGATGGCTCAGTAGAATAAGTGCTTCCTTGTCACGTGCAAGGGCCTGAGTTCAATCCCTGGTTCCATCAAAAAAAAAAAAAAAAATTCAGTCATCTGAATTTTGTCTGAGATTTTTAGTCAAAGGCTTTTTCACTGATCCCTCTTTACACTCCCACATGTCTTTTGGCAGAGACATGAAGATAATCCAAAGAAAACTAACACTACTTCCAACAGAAGGCAACTACTATAGTAATCTAAGGTTATGAGTCTTAACATAAAATTGTGTTGAGACACACAGCCTGATGGCTGCTTAAAACTGAGTTCTCTAGGTCAATGGTATCCAGGTTTTTCTGGAAGACTATTTTTCCATGGATGGAGGTAGAGTATGGATGTAGGATGACTCAAAGAAATGGGCATCCCTTGCATGCATGGTTCACAGTAGGATTTGTGCTTCTATGAAAATCTCAGGGGCCAGGGAGCAATGGCTTGGCAGAATAAGCGCTTTCCTGGCAAGCACAAGGGCCCGAGTTCAATCCCCGGTTCCGCAAAAAAAAAAGAAAATCTCATGTTGATGTTGATCTGACAGGAAAAAGAGCTCAAGTGGTAATGTAAGTGATGGGGAGTGGCTATAAATGTAGGTGAAGCTTTTCTCCCTTACGGGCTGCTCATCTACTGTGACCTGGCTTCTCACAGAATCCCTGTTTTAGGTGATATCCATACTTCGACTTCTCTCTTCCCTCTTCAAATACTACTGGAGTTAGGTCCTGGCTCTCTCACTAACTAGCCCTGGAATCTCTGCAGCTCTTTCCTTATTTGTGGTGCAGGAAAAACTGGGCGAACAGAGGGACTGGCCCTCTCATAACTGATATCCATACATATGGACTAGTAATTGCCATCATGATTATTTATATTTCAAGAGATAATGAAAGCCCTAGTTTCACCAGCCTTCCTGACTCACTAAACTCAAGTCACACTCACACCCATAAATTCACTAGAAAAGCTTCTCTGCTTCTCTGTTTCTTTGCTTTCCATGACAGGTAACACTAACTAATTCTGCTGAGAGTGAACAACAGAACAGCAGAGTGGGAGCACATTCTACTCCCCATAAGTCTTATCAAATGTCTCAGCTCTTGTCTGTCCACAGAGACTGGAAGACTCACTCTCCAAACCTTGTTACTCATAAAATAGGGGAGTAGCAATTGCACACACGTGGGTTTCTAATCACCAGCTAGAGATAAGATCCACCCAGGGCTGTAGTCCCAAACTTGAGCTCAAGAGATGTTAACATCCTCTGAATGAGCTCATAAGGTCCAGGGCCTGTAAAAAGTTCAAGCCATGCGAGAAAGAAATAAAAGGAATAAGAACAGGTAAAGAAGAAGTTAAATTATCATTATTTGCAGATGACATGATACTTTACTTGGAAGACCCAAAAAACTCTCCCAAGAAGCTACTAGAATTAATAAAGAAATTCAGTAGCATAGCAGGTTACAAAGTCAATACCCAAAAGTCAATAGCATTCCTCTACACAGACAATAAACACACTGAGAGGGAAATTATAGAAATAATACCTTTTACAACAGCACTGAGGAAAATTAAATACCTTGGAATTCATCTGACTACAGAAGTCAAAGATCTTTTCAAGCAAAATTACAGTACTCCAAAAAAAGAGATCGTAGAGGATTTCAAAAAATGGAAAGATATTCCATGCTCCTGGATAGGAAGAACCAACATTGTGAAGATGGCCATATTCCCAAAATTGCTGTACAGATTTAATGCAATCCCTATCAGACTCCCACCAACATACCTCACAGACCTAGAGAAATTGTTCCTAAAATTTATTTGCAACCAGAAAAAACCTAGAATAGCAAAGGCAATCCTGGGAAACAAAAACAAGGCAGGAGGCATTACAATTCCTGACTTGAAATTATACTACAAGGCTACTGTGATAAAATCAGCATGGTACTGGCAACAAAATAGACCTGAGGATCAAGGGAATAGATTAGAAGATGCTGAAGCCTCTAGAAACACATTCAGCCACCTTATCTTTGAGATAGGGGCCAAACATACTCACTGGAAGAAAGATAGCCTCTTTAACAAATTGTGCTGAAAAAACTGGCTCTCCATATGCTTAAAACTAAAACTTGACCCAGGTCTATCACCATGCACTAAGCTAAAGTTAAAATGCATTAAAGATCTAAACATTAAAACAGAAACACTAAATCTCTTGGAGGAGAAAGTAGGAGAAATTCTGGAAGACATAGGAGTAGGCAAAGAGTTCATGAATAAAAATCAAATCGTACGGGAAACACTTGAAAGAATTAATAACTGGGACCTCCTCTTATTCTCATTGAGAGGTTTTTGCATGTCAAAAGAAATTACCAACAAAGTGAAAAGACAAACCACAAATTTGGAAAAAATCATGACAAATAAGTACTCAGACAAAGGTCTGCTCTCTAGAATTTATAAAGAACTAAAAAACACTAGGGCCCCAAAATTTAAAGACCCAATCCAGAAATGGGCATCTGAGATGAACACATACTTCTCAGAGGAAGAAATAAAAGAAGCAAATAAATACATGAAAAAGTACTCCAGATCACTAGCCATTCGTGAAATTCAAATTAAAACAACACTGAGATACCATCTCACCCCAGAAAGAATGGCTATCATAAAGAAATCAACCAACAACAAATGTTGGAGAGGCTGTGGGGAAAAAGGAACCCTTCTCCACTGCTGGTGGCAATGTAGACTGGTACAATCGTTATGGAAATCACTGTGGAGACTCCTTAGAAAACTTGGACTGGAAATCCCATTTAAACCAGCTATTCCTCTACTGGGAATTTTCCCAGAGGATCTGAAATCATCCTATCATAGTGATATATGTATGGCTATGTGTATAGCAGCACTATTTGTGATAGCCAAATCTTGGAAACAACCAAGATGCCCATCACCTGAGGAATGAATGAAAAAGTTGTGGTATTTTTATACAATGGAGTATTACTTAGCTATAAAGAATGATAAACTTGAAGCCTTTATATTTAAGTGGATGCCACTTGAAGATATACTCATAAGTGAAATAAACCAGACACACATGTATAAATATCATATAGTTTCTCTAGTATAAGAACTCAAAAGAAGAAATAC